TTGCCCAGTCTGGGCTCAAATTTGTCATCCTGCCTCAGCCTCCCAGAATGCTAGGATTGGGGCTGGAGATTTAGCTCAGCGGCATAAGCGCCTGCCCTGCAAGCTGGCAGTCGTGAGTTCGATCCCCGGTACCGATAAAAAGGAAACAAACAAACAAAAAAAAAAAAAAAAAAAAAAAAAACCCAGAATGCTATTACCATGCCTGGCTAGAATCATAATTTTTTTTTGGGTACCGGGGATCAAACTCACAACCGCCTGCTTGCAAGGCAGGTGCTTATGCCGCTGAGCTAAATCCCCAGCCCCTGGACTATGTACTTTTGATCAACCTATGGTACAGCTGGGAAAGAGTGCTCCACAGAGAGGAATGCCTATCTCTACTTGCTTTCTCCAGTTTCCTAACTCAAGAAGCAGCATCTTTCTCCAGCAGGATGCCAAAGTTCACCTACCACAGCTGCTCTGTCCTTTTGATTCTTCTTTGTAAACACTCATGCCTGTGGAGCTGGGGATTTAGCTCAGTGGCGTAAGCGCCTGCCTTGTAAGCACGCAGTCTTGAGTTTGATCTCCAGTACCAATAAAAAAAATTCCACAGACACTCATGTATGCATCCTTTTTATTCCTACTTCCTAACCTGTTTCAGACCTCATCATACTGTTTACACATCAAGGCTTTTTTTGTTTTGTTTTGTTTTATTGGTACTGGAAATTAAACTCAGAGCCTATGCACTAAACTATATCCTCAGACCTTTTTTAATTTTCAGTTTGAGATCTGCTAAGTTGCTAAGTTGCCCAGGCTGGGCTCAGACTTGTGTACTGCCTCAGCCTCTCCAGAGTGTTGGGATTACAGGTGCAGAGTACCACACACCCAGTTATATCAGGACTTCTACTTACGCTGCTACTTCTGCCTGGAATATGACCAGTCCCTTTTTAGGCCTCAGAACTGTCTTCTCTTAAGTTCCCTCTTTATTATGGTATTTATATTTTTGGGGTTTTTTTTTTTGACAGGGTCTTGCTGTGTCGTTCAGGCTGGCCTTGAACTTGTGGTATTCTTATCTCAGTCTACTGAGTGCTGGGATTACAGGCATGTGCCTGACTTAAAATAGTTATTGAATGAATAAATGATCTGTCACCTTGACCACTTCAACGGCCTCCTCCTTCTAACTTTTTTTTTTTCTTCCTTCTAACTCTTTTTCATACTTCCCTGTGAGCCACAGGGAGATCTGAACTCTCTTCTCATCATGTCAATTATAGGTGACATGAAAAGAACAAAAGCAGAGTCACATACAACCTTAATCTCAGCTGCTTGGGAGGCTGAGACAGGAGGATGACAAGCTGGAACAATTTAACAAGACCCTGTCTTAAAACAAGTAAAATAATAAATCACTAACTTCATAAATAGAGGCTGGGGAAGTACTTCTGTGGGAGAGCAAGTGCCTACCTGGGTTTAATTTTCAGTACCAGAGGGGGAAAATGAAGAACAAAATCAAGAAGTCCTGGGAAAAGAGGGAGCTCCCAGCCCAGATTGAGGTCAAAAGAATTCTGATTGTCTGCTGTGGTGATCAGACAGGGATAAGAGGACTTGCTCGGCTTCTGGTGCCAGCTCTGCTACCTGCTGTGTGTGTGACACAGAGCAGCTTATCCCACCTCTCCCGGGGCTTCCTCTTCTGTAATGTGGCGATATTAAAGCCTCAATGAAATGGTTAAGCTGTAAAAATCGAAGGAAGAAGTGTGTGAAAGTGCAAAGGGCTAGAGATAGCAGGGAGGCTTCCTTCTGCCCTTTCAGCAGGCGCCAGTGTCTCCTTCCCACCTACCTCCAGGCCAGCCCAGCTCTCTGCCCCCAGGTCTTCCTGGGCCAGCACTACCAGCTGCTCGGGCTGGGCCCAGACCCTAGCCAGGACAAAGCACCTGCCAATAGCCTGTGGGTGCTGCTGATTGCTTCCGGGCACAAGGACAGCTCTGTCTGCAACACACAGGTTCCTGCCAGACCTTTCTTCTGGGTTTCAGTCCTCCCCTGAGGAAAGCAGGGTTAATCATCTCATCTCCCAAAATGCAGTCATTCATCAACACTATGGCAGTTGCTGCAGTAGTCTCAGGGTGGACGCTCCCAGGAGAGGGCTGGGAGAGGGCATCAGGCAGTCTCAGGGCTCTGGGGGTGGGGGTGGGAGTGTCAAGCTTTGCCCTAGGAGGGAGTGCATGTTTGTCTTCTAGCTCGGAGTCAAGGATTCCCTTCATTAGTCACTTACCAAAGGAGCTGTTTACTCAGTGGGCCAGAAGAGCTGTTCTAATTCCACAGAGATGACTTGGCCTGGCATGAGAAACAATCTACTGCGCTCGAATCCCTTCTGACAGTGTTTTTGTAGCCTCCAAAGCCTCTTAAACTATTGGTTGGTCTTCAAAACTTAGCTGCTGAGCAGTGGGAGTGAGGCGGGTTTACTTATTTGAAACTTAGAAGCCTGAAGTTGATGATTTTATCTTTCCTTAGGGCTCCCCTTTTTCAGATTGTTCTCCATCCTGCTATCAGACAGATTTTTCCAAAGCGCATTTCTGGTTCAGAACTCCTTTTGTCCCTTACTGTGATTATGACCAGGTCTAAATTCCTTAGCTAGGAATCACAACCTGCTGCAATCCCCTTTTCAGCTGCAGATTGGTTGTCTTGATTTCAGTGTAAGTTAAATCACTGAAAGGTATCACTTGGAAGTAGGCTCAGCTGACTGTCAAATAGTAGCTGCTGGAGTAAACAGGGTTGGTATCACGTCCCCAGGCACCTTTGACCTTGTCGCTGTCCCATTCCGAACTTAGTCCAAGATGACTGTGCACACTCTAGGAATCACATGTGTCTTCTGCTAGGAAGAAGATGAGAGGGGAAGATAAAGGTCCAGGACAAATGGCAGCTCCATTTCAAAGGTTCCTAAGAAACTGACACCTGACACCTCTGCTTACATCACACAGGGCAGACCTTGCTAATCCTAAAGGAGGAGGGAGGCCTGGTGTTCACTCTCGCCTACCATCAAAACAAAAACAAACACACGGTAGATTTTAATTCTAATGGGGAAAACTAGAGGGTTCTGACATAAATTCCCTGCTTCTGTAACTTGCTTACCCTGGTCTCTGCACCTATTTGTTTTACAATGGGGAAGTCATACTCATCCTTTGAGACCCAGCCCAAATGTCACACCTGCAGACCCCTAAAGGTACAGCGCATAATCCCCGCCACTGTTCTCATATTGAATGTTCCTCCACAACTCCAGGCATGGTATCATGAACCTTCCCCCTTCCCATCTGTTTCCTCCTCCATTTGGTCCCAGGGGTGTCCTTTACTCTATTCACAGTCCCTCATGCTTCCTAAGCCCCACATTTGTGGATTCCCCCTCCCGCCAAGCCAAGGGCTTCAGTTTTCATTCTTATGGCCTCTGGGCAGCCTACCCACCCTCTGAGGCCTTTTCTTTGCCTACACCAAGCCTCTGTATGGATCACCCATCCAAGGAACCGAAGGGATGAACAGGGACAACAGGGGTTAGCTGCTCAGGCGTGTGAGGGGGTGGCAGCATTTCCAGAGTGCACCTGCAGAACTTTCACAGCCCCTGCTGAAGTGGGGTCCTTTCTCCAAAGGACACCCGGATGACCCCCAAGGCAAGAGTCTGTCTGCACACTGGTAGAAAATTAAACCCTTCTGGTCAGCCTTTCCATTATCCCTGCAGCTTAAAATTCCCGTGTTCTCCTCACCCCAGCCCGCCCCAGGTTTCAGGGTGAGTCCTGATGTCAAGGCCCTTTGTGATCTGATCCTTCCCCAGGAGTACCTCAGTTCTCCTTCCCCTTCCCCTCTTGCAGTAGCTATACCTGATTGTTTGCAATGTCTCAGGCCTCCAAACTGTAACAAGTTACCTGTAATCCCAGCACCCAGGAGGCTGAGGTAGGAGGATTGCTGCAAGTTCAAGGTCAACCTGGGCTACACAGTGAAACCCTGTCTCAAAACAACCATTAAAAAACAAAACAAAACAAAACAAAACAAAACTGTCACGGGTGCTGCTGGCTTTGCTTAGTATTTTTCTTCTCGATCCTCAAGATTTCTGTGCATGGCTGGGTGTGCTGGTGCAAATCTGTAATCTCAGTACTTTCAAGTATCTCAAACATCAGCCCCTCCACATATCCAAAACTCCAAATCCCCCCAACCCAATTTGGATGGAAATATCCTTCAGCCACCCTTCCTTAACATCCTTAGCAGAACTGGCCCTCTCGGTCTCCCACCCCAATCAGAAGTCTCATCCTCATACAGTAACAGTCCCTTTCTCAGGATAGGGCTAAGCAACCTGAGGTCAGTACTGCATTTTTCACTGGCAGCTCTGTAGTGGCTTTGGGCTTACAATAGGCATCCAACAAACACTCCCTGAAAAAAGCTGCTAAGTTAAGGGAACAGAGGGCCAGGTGACAAGGCAGCTACTCCAAAGTCTGTTCTCTGCTTTGGGTCAGTGGATCATGAGGCAAACACCAAAAAGTCACATGAAGTCATACCTTGCTTCCTGCCTGAATGAAGCCTACTCATGCTTCAGTCTATCTGGTGCTCACACCTCCTGCAGAAAGCCTGCTGACTCTAGCCCTTAGATGCGCTCTCATAGTCTCCACCATGATTTCTCTTTCTTCAGTCTCTCTCCCGTTTTGAGACAGGGTTTCACTATACAGTTGTGGTCTTGAACTCACTTTGTAGCCCAGGCTGGCCTCAAACTACAGGTGATCCTCTGCCTAAGCCTCCAGAGTGCTGGGATTTATAGGCCTGTGCCACCATGCCTGGCCTAAGCCTTCCTTTCTACAAGTTTCTCCTCTGTGGCTGTGGATTCTTTGAGGCAGAGAAGCTGACTGTTTTTTGCGTTTGCCAGTGCCCAACCTCGCTTTGCTTTCAGGGTGACCAGGAAATGATCCCAGGGACCAGGTGAGGGAGAAGCAGGGAGCTTCTTAGTGCCACCAGACGATGGGTGGGCAGCTGCTCCTTCTCAGGTGTGACTTAAATAATTTTTTAGGAAATGTAGACTTTATTTATAAGGCTGGCCTCTCTTTCTCCTGGTGGGATGAGTGGTGAACAGAGGGCAGTCTGAGGAGGCCTGGCCACCGTGGCCCACATCTCCTCCCACTTTGCTCTGGCTCTTCTGGAGGATCACATGGTGAGAATCTGCTTTGAAGACACGAAGGGCTCCATGGCGGCTCCCAGGGCCCGCTGATAGTCCTGCAGGGGGACCTCAGTACAGGTGGGGGCTGTGAGCTGGCCTCGGCGGATGAGGTCGCACAGTGTGAGGATCAGCCTCTTGAACTCGTCTGTAGGAGGTGGGAGAAAATCAGATGGGAGGCAACAGCTAGGGCTTGGTGAGATGGCACATGGGCTGCCCTGTGCACGGCAGCAGGCACTGAGCTCTAGTAGAGTCTCCAGAGCCCTGGCTTTGCCAAGAAGGGTGGTGGTGTTGACAGCTTGGTTTACATCTGGGTCCAGGATGGCGGGAGCCAGGTGAGGCCAGAAGGGCACGGGGAGTGGCCTTAGGAGCTGCTAGGCAAACAGAAACACCTGTCCAGGTGGGATGGGTGATCCGGATGGGTCAGACCCACAGAATCATAGCCTGGCAGTGAATGGCAGGAGGGGCAGGATTTCTCTGAGGCAGCAAAGCCACCAGAGACCCAAGTACGAGGTGGTGCTGGGGGCCCTGGCATGCCAGGGGATGTGGACCAGGGGAGCTTCACTGGGACACAAGTGCTCTCCCCAGGAGCCCAGCTTTTTTAGAAGCCTGGACCTGAGGCTGCCACCACCCTCCTTGGGGCTGGCCTCCCACGAGAACCCAGTGTGGAACAGAATGGGCCATGAGGGCCTTGGCAGAGAAGTGTGTTTTCACAGATATAAATACACTCAATTTTCAAATCCAATCCTCCCTGCAGTTTAAAAACACTTAGTGGCTCCCTGACTGGCTTCAGGACAGTCTAAATACCTCTGGATGGTCCACAAGGCCTTCCTCAATGTGGCCAGAGCCTGGCTGTCCAGCTTCCCCACTCCAGCTTAGACTTACTGCTCCCGTGGTGCAGAACCACTGCGGTGCTGGTGAGTCACACACACACCCTGGGATGGGCTTTTTTGCATGTACTGCTTTTCCTCCTGAAATACCCTATGCATGCCACCACTAGGACAGCTCCGTGTCCTTCATCCTTTTCAGCTTGGGCTCACACTCTGGGAAGCCAGGCCGCCAGGTTCTGGAGACAGAGAGGCCATCTGCTCACATCCTGGCTGCACCACTCCCAAAGAGGTGGAGTAACTTCGGGCAAGCTACTCCTCACTCTGAACACCACTTCCTTCTCTATTACAGGGCGTGCTAGTGTTTAACTATTAAGATGCTTACCCAGAGATGGGGTTGAGTAATTTGCCCCAGGCCCCACAGCAAGCCCAGGCAGAGCCTAGCTCTGTTGGTGGCAGGAATAGGCTTGGACAGCGTGCTCTCTGTACTTGGCAGCCTTCCCATTGGCTGAGGGCTGTGTCTGCCATATTGATACTCTGGCCCAAGGACTAGCCCAGTTCAGTCCACTGATGATTTGTTGACTGCAGATGTGGCTAGAAAGTATTTCCCTGCTGGGGAATATAGCTCAGCAGCAAAAGTGCCTTCCTGGCAAGTATAAGGTTGTGAGTTTAATCCTTGGTACAAAAAGAAAAAAAGAAAGAATTTTCCTTTATTCTATCGCGAGGTTGGGGACCCAATTGCCTCAGCAGGGTCCTGGCAGCTGGTCACTTCTGCAGCCATGCTAGGCACTGCCCTCTTCTGTGACCCTTGGCATCAGACGATTTATCACCTGCTCACCTGGACTGTGGTTCTTCTTCCACTGTGACATCCAAAAACCCCGAAGTCTGACGTCCTTAAAAATGAGCAGGCTCTGTGGACACAGGAGGGACATGCTGAGGACAAGAGCTTCAGGCACCACTTTCAGGGTAGATTCCTCCCAGGGACACGGCTGGGTTTAGACAACTGTGCTATCAGGGGAGGGGCATCTGGCCCCCTCTGCAGGGCTCCCCAGAGCACCAGCTTACCACAGAGGCTGTGACAGGTTGCTTAGCCATCCCACCATAGGTCACCATGGTCCCTCCAGGCCTAAAGAATTGAGAGGAAAAAAACAGTGGGTACAGGCAGGGACGGGGCCCCACTTGGGTTCAGCATGGCATTTCCATTTTGATTGTGACTTCTAAATATTTCTCGGGATCCCTGGAAAGGGCTCAAATATATGAATTCTTAGGCCTGACCCCTGACTTAAGGAATCAAGAAGCAGCTGGGCATGATGGCACATGTTTATAAGGAAGATTGACACAAGTTCGAGGCCAGCCTGGGCTACATAGTGAACTCAAAGTCAGCCTAAACTATATAGTGTGACCCTGCCTCAAAAAAAAAAAAAAAAAAAAAAAAAAAAAGAGTTCAGAATTTATATTAGCTGAGCATGTAATTTAGCAGTATAGCACCTGTCTGCAATCATGAGTTCAATTCCTGGCATCAAAAGGAATTTTTATTAAAAATGTGCTGTTTGCAGTGGTGCATGTCTGCAATCTTAGGTACTCAAGAGGCTGAGGCAGGAGGACAGCAAAATCAAGGCCAGCTAGGAGATTTAGTAAGACTGCATCTTAAAAAATAAGGGCTGGGGCTGGGGATTTAGCTCAGTGGCGTAAGTGCCTGCTTGGCAAGCACAACGTTGTAAGTTCAATCCCTGGTTAAAAAAAAAAAAAAAAGGCTAAAGCCCTGGTTTCTTTCTTTCTTTTTTTTTTTTTTTTAATTTTATTTAAGGAGAAAAAGAAAAAAAAGCAGAAAAAGGATACAAGTTATACAGAATTTCAGAAAAAAAATAAACAGTAGGAAATCACTAGTTAATGGATTACATATTAGAAATATTACATCTTAGAAATATTTGTTCAAGTTACAAAATTAAAGCTTATATAGTGGACATTCAAACAGTGAGACCAAACAGTTCTGTTCAATGATCCAACAAAACTCAGTAATATCATTGTCTATCTTATACACTTAAATATACATGCAGTTATATCGTTTAGAGCACTTTCTTTTCCTCTCTTTTGTACAATGACTATTATACATTTTGGGTTTTATTGCTCCCACAGTTCTTATTACTTTTTTTGGAAGAGAGTAAAACCAAATGTGATATAACAGAACAGAGTCGGTCAAATCAAAAGGGTGGACATAATAGATAATGTAAAAACAATAATACAAGGTGATCAACAATGGTTACCATAATGCCTCCCACTACCTCTAATAGAATTGCCTATATCATCAGTTATAATAAAATTTAACAAAACAGTAAAGAACGAAACCAACAAAACCAAAACATTGGAGACATTACAGGTCTTCAAAAGTAGATAATAGTCAACCAGAATGGGCGTCATAATAAATCCCACTATCTTCACAGCTGTTGCCTATACTTTTGAACCTTGTACTATCAAGCAAAACATAATAGAGGAACATCAGTCAAAACAAGATGGTGAGAGCAATACAGGTAAAGACCTGGTTTCAACCACACATGAAACAAAATGAATATATACAACACCACACTCCATTCAGATGACCAGGAAGCTTAGCCAGGGTTGGGAATCCACTAGCCCAACCTACTCGGTCATGTTTTGGCTGTGTACTAAATATCAGTAAACTCCATAGACAAGAGCGCAAAGCTGGAGTCCAAGTCTGCTCCACTCTTGTTAAAGGAGTGTGACCTTGGGTGATGCAATATACGTGGTCCTGACCTTGTCTCTTCATCTTTAAATATGCTAGAGATCAGTGAGATGAAATAACTGTACAAATAAGGAGGTCAGTGAGGAGCGCCCTCTCTTGGCAGGAGGTGCACAATGTGGTTGGTGGTGGCTGTCTGATGCCTACCCACCCACCTTAGCAATGGATGCCAGGCTAATGCTTTTTTTTTTGGAGGGGGACTCGGAATCAAACTCAGGACCACACACTTTACAGATAGGGGTTGTGCCACTGAGCTATACTCCTGACCCCCTGGTTAATGCATGTTTTATTTATTTAATTGGTACTGGGGATGGAACTCATGACCTCACACTTGCTAGGCAGGCACTTATGCTGCTGAGCTAAATCCCTGGCCTTAATGCATGTTTTAAAGAACAGGTTAATTTGACTCATGCTAATGAAATTTTTGAAAACTAGTAAGTTAAGACGATGAGTGTTTGACTTAGCTTTTGTTCTGCCCACTCCCTGGCTCTTAGGGAAGCTTTTGCTCAAGGAGCACACACTTTGAGACACACTTTGGAAGACATAAAGGAGACTGTAGATTGTAAAATGGGAGATGTTGCTGGGGGAGGCAGGTTTTAACTCTGGCCCTGAGGTGTGTGTGTGCGTGTGTGGTACTGGGGACTGAATGCAGGGACTCGCACAGATAAAGCATGTGCTCTACCCAGCTGCTAGCTTGATCTTAAATTCCCCTCAGCTGGAACTTGCTCTAGAAAGCAGTTAGTTGCTGGGGCGGGGGTGCGGGGGGACAGAACCTTCTCTCCCATCTCCCGGCTGCATTTGCTCCAGTGACAGAAGCTGGCATTTAGTTGGTGTCTGCTATGTGGCAGGCAGGGTTCTAAGCACATATATTACTTTCTCAGCAAACCCTCATAGTTTCCCAGGGAATGCTCTAGCTTTGTAGATGAGAAAGTTAAAGTCCCTTTTTTCATGTGTCTCTCAGATTAACCTTTGAAGGAAGAAAGGGTTTCTATTATTCCCATTTTATAGATGAAGAGACTGAGGTCTGGACTGTTCTTTCACATATGGCCTAACTTTTCACAGGTCTACAGCCAGCAGTAGCAGAGTAGAGGTGTGAACTTGGCCATTTTAAATCCACCGCCTACACTTGTGTCCACTGCATGCGATGAGTGACACGGGTTCACAGTCTTCCCCAGAGACTGAGTGTAGGGCTGAGGAGGTGCGCTCTTGAGTCCTGTGAAATGGGTTTCTCTGGTGAGTACGCCTTGGGTAAGGTAATTTTCCTCTCTTGGGTTTGTTTTCGTTAGGTATAAAGTGGAGACTGGGGTCTAGGGGTGCAGCTCAGTGGCAAAGTAAGCTCAGCATACATGAGACCCTGGGTTCAGTCCTGAGCATTGAGAGGGAAACAACAAAAGGGGAAATCAAGGCTGCCCTCACCGAGGGCCTCGGGAGGGGAACGTCCAGCTCTGCAGAGCCCTGTGTGTGTGGTGAGCACTCAGCGATTCTCCTCCCAGCTGGCCGGCCACACGGCTCACCTGCCCGTCTCTCCCTGCGCGACTCAGCCCTCTCTGCTGTAGTTACTGAGTGTTCATGGAGTGTTAACTCGATCACTGTGGAGGGGACTTGTGCTCTAGTTGGCTGGCGTCTCTTGAGGTGTCCTCCAGCTGGACAAGTTTATGTCACAGGAATGAACACGCAGAGTTAATGCTGTCAACAGTGCTTCTCCCCCTTGGGCGTGGGGAAGACCAGGAACTTCTGTGTTTACTTTTTCTTTGTATTTTTACATCCTTTCAAAATGTTGTGCAATAGGCATAATGTTACTGCTAAATTAGAATGCAGTTTTAAAAGCCAAGGAAGCATTTAAAAGCTAATAAGTATGGACTTGGTGGTTTTTAAGAGGCTCCTAGATTAGGAGACCTTGACCAATTCCCTAAGCAGGGTTCAGCTGTTTACTTCTGGGAAGAATGAAGCCTGGTCAACCAGAGGGAGGAGCTGAGAAAGAAGCACTCAGGAGTTGGAGGACTCACTCCTTGTTTCCTCCCCGGTCCTGCTAACCAAGGCATTCATTGGCCTTGGGGACTTGCTCCCTGGTCGGTCCTCCCAGCTAGTGACCTGGAGAGCTCCCGCACCTGCCCTGCAGGGTCAAAGGACTTACGCCAAGTGCCGCAGCAGTTCCGTGGAGCTCTTCCCGCCAACACAGTCGAGAGCAAGCCGTGGCTCAGGCACGTCCTGAAAAAGTGGGAACTGTAGTGAAGAGGTGACCAGAGCACATGCGAGGCGTAAGCTTGCTACGTATAGCACTTCCCTGCCCAAGCACTGTATCACAGAGAGGCAGTGAAGGAGAAGTGTTTATGCCTCTGGCCTGGCCTTTTTCTCTGCCTAGCAAAGGACTATGCTGAAGGGCAGATGTTCTGGCAGGGCCAGGGCTTTTGAGTTTAGAGCAACCCAGGGCCAGCTCTGACTATACCACTCACCACGATGTGGTTCTGGCCAAGTCCTTTATCTTTTCTGAGTCTGTGTTTCCTTGTCTAAGAAACTGGTGATGATTACTTTGTAGGGCTTTCCTAGGGATTATCAGGTAAAATGTGAGGCAGAGGCTTAAGAGATGTTGCTTTTTTTCCTTTCTGTGCCTCAGTTTCCTCAAAGCTCCTTCCAGTGCTAAAATTCACACTCACTGTGTAGACCGATGTGGCCTGCCATGAATGGTTCAAACTGCAAACCACACAGGGTTTCCTGAACTTAGTTTCTCCTACCTCTCTCATAGCACCAGAATACTTAACGCACTCCGTGCCCTGGTGGAGGGGAATGGGCTTTAATTATCCTTTCAAGAAGATGTGACGGATATGATCGTGGTGGCACATACTTATAATCCCAGCACTTGGTAAACTGAGGCAAGAGGCTTGCCATGAGTTCCAGACCAGCTACATGTTGAAACCCTGTCTCAAAACCCAAACCAGTCCAACTCAAACCAAACTAAACCAAAAGAGGTGATGAGAGATTTGCAGACAGGAGAAATGGGGCCTGTCCCTACATCTTCTAATTCAAGTCAGCTTGCTTAGGGAGATGAGCATGGTGTGGAGGGGCAGTACACCCTTCCTGGGTACCTTGAGAAGGTTTTTTATTTCAGGTCTTCTCAGTTCCTCCTCTGTGATGACATGCTCAGCACCCAGACCCTTCAGTCTGTCGGTCAGCTTCTGGATGTCAGGTCTAGAAACCAAATGCAAACCAAAGTCCCTGGTCACCCCTGTGGCTCTCTCTCCCCAGAGCTCTCAGGTTCTATCTACCGCAGTCGTGAGAACTTGGGTGTTTCATTTCTGGGCTGGGCTGGGCCTGTGCAGGGACCAGTCACATAACTGAATCCTGCTCTAATAGCTCCTGCCATTATCCCACGGGCCTCACCCTCACCGGGCAGAGCCAGGCCGGGAGCTTTCTGTGCTCATGGAGAAGCCATTTCACTTCCTGATTTCTTTTACTGAGAAATGACACGCTCCACTTCCTTCCTTCCCTCTTCTCAAGGGCCTCCTTGGGGTAGTAGGTGAACACATTACACCCTAAGAGTAATCCAGGCCTTTTGGCCAAGACCAGAATCATTTTTTGTTAGCACAATTGAGAAGACAAGGACCTGAAGTGAGAATCAAATCTCCTCCTAAGAGTGGACCCTCATGACAGACAGGACCACACTCATGGACAGAAAAGCTTAATGGAGTTGGATAATTTGACTGAAAGATAATTAGTCTGTTACTGCTTCCTGGGCAAGCTGCTTCCTGTCTCTGAAACTTCAGTTTCCTCAGCGATAAAGGAGAGAGCCCCAGCTCCTTCGCATCTATATTTAGCACACAAATGCCAAGGCACAGGGGTCTTGGGCTAGGCAGTTCTCAGAAAGAAAAGCATAGCTCAAACTATGGTTTTGAAAACATGGAGTTATCGCAAGTTGGGTCGTTCAGGGGATGGGCAGTCTCCATCCCCTTCCTGCCGACTCTGCATTTCAGAAATTCCCTCCTGTAGCTTAAAGCCACTTGGACTTCATTTTTCTGGTCTGACTCATCTGCTTCAGCTGCCAACTGTTAGCAAACCATGAAGGAGGCTATCTGTGCTTATGCAAGGGCGCCATCTGGTGGAGATAGGGTCATCTGCAGGATGCCAGGTGGAAAGGCCCCAGCCGCAGTCTTGGATTAGGCCTCCCCACGCACCTGTTTCGGACCACATTGATGGTCCTCAGGCCCAGGGCTGCGGCAATCTGGATGACTGCTTGCCCTACTCCACTGTTGGATGCGTTCTGGATGACAGAATCCCCTGTGAAGCCAGGAAGAGACCCGAGTCAAGCCCTGCAGATCTGTCATAGGTGAAGGGCTTCCCGCCTGGGTTCCTAGGATAGGGCAAGAGATGCAGTCCGCAGGCTCAAAAGGTAGCAGAGCCTTCTCCGACCTTGAACTGTCACTCACAGTCCCCTAATGCCTCCCAAACTCTCACAGCACCCACAGTGCCTCATGACTTGGCCACTCTGCACAAAGGACAAAATGTAGACGCTGCTGTGTAACTGATGTTACATCCTCTCACTTTTTATACAAGTCCTTGTCTCCGCTCAGGCAATTCTCTTGGTTTGCAATGCTGTCTCTCTGTATGTCCTTGGAAGTACAGCTCCACTACGGCTTCCTTCATGGAGCCCTCCTGGGTTCTTCCCTCTGTGTGCTTCCAGGATACCTGTGGACATCTGTGTCCAGGCGCATGCTGTGATCTGTCCCATATTCAGTTCTATGCAGGTCTGCATCTACTAACCACTTGCAGCTTTTTTGGGGTAGAAGGGGAGGGCCATGCCTTGTCCCTTTTTGTAGTGTTTAATCCAGGTACATTGCCCCCGGATGGGATTAGAGCTACACTGGAGAAACTGGCAGCCTCTGATACAGGGTCTTGCAGATGGTTTGTGGAAAGTCCAGGCTTAGGTTTGGATTTGCCAGTGGGACAGGCAGTAGTGGACTCTGGAACAAGCTGGATCTGGGTGGGAGTCACAGCTTCACCTATGACTGTAACTAACTGAGATGGAGGAAATTGTATCTTCTAAACTCTAGCTTCCTCCTCAGAAAACAGAATCCCAAGAGCACCCCCCCGGGGGGGGCACCCAGTTGGAGTCAATCGCATTGCATCCTGTATCTGGGAAGGCGCGTTGTTAACTCTGAATATGCGAGGAAGTGGGGTTCTGTGCACAGAGAGTGGGAGCTAGAGATGGGATTCCGCCATTCTCCTTAGCCAGGGCAGCATGCAGGCTGTCACCGCTCACATGGTTGCATTACAGTCCAACTGTGGGTTCCCAGGAATTGAGGAGATTGGGGTCAAGGATATAGCTCAGTGGTACAGCGGCTGCCTGGCAGGCACAAGGTCATGAGTTTGATTTTGGTGCAAAAAAAAAAAAAAAAAAAAAAAAAAATTGAGACTAAGTCAAGTAATCCCAGCACTTGGGAAACTAAGGCAGGAGGGTCATGAGTTCAAGTTCAGCCCAGGCTACACAGGCAAGTTGGAAGCCAGCCGGGACTACACAATGAGATCCTCTCAAAAAACAAAACCAAACAAACCAAAAAACCAACTCCAAACAGAAAAAGACTTGCAGAAAAAAAACTCCTGCACAAACAAAAACAAAAAAACAGTGTACCCACATAGTGAGGGTATTTTCACTCCTCGGCATTATAGAAAAACTCCAACAAAAATCCAGAAGTCAGTGGGGGAACGGAGCCTGAGGAAAACGACCCAGTCTCCTGACTTTAGAGGAGTCTAACCTAACCCCAGCAGGACAGAGCCCACATGGTCCTGGGCAGTAACCAGGTTTCCCAGGCTCTGCCTCTGTCCTGAATTTGGTTTCTTCAGTCTCCCCCTCCTGCCTCCTGGGACCTCCTTCCCAAATGACCTGGCTGGCCCCACTTCTGGTGTCAGGCTCTGCTTTGAGGAGAATCTCAAGAAAACACCTGGCTTTGTCATTTACTTGCTGAGTGACTTCATGCAAATAGTCCCCCTCTCTGGACCTCTGTTCCTCAACCTCTAAAAGGAAGACCGATAAAAGCAGCTGACAGTCCCAGCACTGTAGCCTGGCACTGCGCTACAGGTTAATGCAGCAGTGTTTCATAAACTGCCGGAGCCTCTCATTCTCCATCTTACTGATGAAAACTTGGGATGCTGTGGGCAGAGAATTCACACAGTTAGTGAAAGGTGAACTGGGGTTCAGACCTAGGATTTTTGCCTTGAGGTTGAGCTCTTAACCAATGACCCTAAGCTCACCGTACTGCTTTGTTGGAAGGCGTGATGCCCTCCACAGGGATAAGCCTAGAGGCGTTCGTATGAACAGAAAATGCAATATAAATGCTGAGCAGAATTATTAACACCAAGTTCAGCATTTTACTGTGACTGTGTCTATCTTGCCTGGCTTTGTATACCCAGAGTTTAGCACAGCTCAACACAGTTTTTGCTGAGTGACAGCATTCCATTCCCAACTGTGGGGAATGTGATCTTTTAGCAGTTTCTAAGAGTGTGGTCCTCGTGCGCTTTCAACATGTTTCCTAGGAGCCCAGCTAACACTTTTCTAAAATAACACACTTGCCCAGGCCAGGGGCTGTCGTCCTCCAGACTCCTTGGTGGCAAGGTCCCATGGCTTCAGGTTCAGGATTGTGTCCCACCCCAGTGGGGAGCCCTGGCCTGCTCCCGCAGCTGCAGGCTCCTACCTGGCCGCAGCTGCTCGAAGTCCACCAACATCCTGTAGGCTGTGCAGGGGTTGACACTCAGGGTGGCTGCACTCTGAAGAGGGATGTCACTGGGAATTCCAACCAGAGCTTCTTCGCTGAACACAGCCTCAGTTCGCCAGGTTCCTGAGCCAGGGAATGAGGCCAGGGAAGTGAGGAAGGGCTCTTCTGCACCCAAGCGCTAAACCCCTCTCCTGGGTACATGGGTATAGGATACCAGACTTCAATTAGTATTTTTAATTAGTGCAATTAGAGGAAAAGGAAATCTTTTCTGTTTTACTTTGTTTTTTGAGACAGTGTCTTGCTGTATAGTCCATGCTGACCTTGCACCCACTGTGTAGCCCAGGCTGGCCTCAAAGTCACAGTGCTCCTCCCGCCTCAGTTTCCCAAGTGCTGACATTACAAGTGTGTGCCACTATACCTGGTCAGTTTTCTTTCCTTTATTTTATTTTTGGTTTTTTGAGGCAGGGCTTCACTGTGCAGTTTACGCTGGCCTTGGACTCGCTTTGTAGCTCAGGCTGGCCTTGGAACTCAGTAATTTTCTTGCCTTGGCCTCCCAAGTGCTGGGATTACAAGTGTGTGCCACGGTGCCCCAGTACCACAGGTCGTTTTTATTTTTTTATTTTATTTTATTTATATATCTATATTTTATATATCTATATATATATATTTCTCTCTCTCTCTCTCTCTCTCTCTCTCTATATATATATATATATATATATATATATTTTTTTTTTTTTTTTTTTTTTTTTTTTTGGTCTTTCCTTTTTATCAGTACCAGGGATCGAACTCACCACTGCCTGCTTGCAAGGCAGGTGCTTATGCCGCTGAGCTAAATCCCCAGCCCCCACAGGTCGTTTTTAGTAAAAAAAAAAAAAAAAAAAAAAAAAAAAAAAAGCCATTTGTGATTCATTGGGTAGACACTGTGGTCTGAAGGCATAGGGCTCAGGGCCATGGTGTGGGCAGCGGATTTTATTTTAGTAAATGATGCGTTTCTAACAAGCTTTGAGAGATCGAGATGATCTGATATCTGCTCTAAGATCACTTTGTGGCTGGTAGAAAAGACTGAGGGTGGGAGAGGCAGTGTGAAAGTGAGTGATGGATGGGAGGCTTGGGCTGGGGTCCAGGCCCGCGTTCTGGCAGAGGCGATGAAGTGGAGACTCAAGTTCTCCTCTGTAGACAGAACCTGCAGCACCACATGAGGACCAGGTGGGGACAGGCTCCCACCCTGGGCAGGAAGGTTGCTGTGTGAAGGTGCACCGAGGGCAGGCCTCGGGCTCAGACTCAAGCCTGGCTCCACCGTGTCCTTGCTATATCACCTTAGGGGAGCCGCGTGAGCCTTGCTGGCTGCAGGCCTGATGGCTGTGTTGTCTCAGGGTCACTTCCAAAGCTCTCGAGGTGCCCATTCACACCAGCTGCTGGGATTCTAACAGGATCCTGGGTCTGTGAGTCTGGCTATGGGAAGAAAGAGCCGCTCAGGCAGTTCCTAACTGTGCTGCAGGTGGGGAAACAGTGTGGCCTTAGGGTCCAGGAACTCAAGAGGCAAAGGAAGAACGCCCCATGAAAGGGCATGTCAATCCTAGAGTAAATGGCTAAAATAAACAAGAGACAGAGAAGGAAGCTAAAGGATTCCTTAGGGATCCAGTGAGTGCCTCGGCATTTTCTAGGCTTTGCTTAGTCTAGTTTTCAAATCTGCGTAATCCTCCTGCCCATTTACTTTAGCTACTATTTCTTGTTCTCAGGGTCAAACACTTAATAGGGGACTTTCCATGCACAAAGTTAGGGATGTTTTCTTCTTTTTTAATTTTAAAAAGCAAAACAAAAAAGGATAGAAACAATACAGAATTAAAAAAAATAGTAGGAAATGAACAGTAGTTAATGTATTAAGAATGTTTTCTAATTCCCCTATGGCACAAACAAAGGGAACCCATACCTTGATGTGGATTCCTGGGGCTTAGAAGTCCCTAAACCTCTTCTCAAGAGAGCCTGGGCAGGAAGGGATAGCACTCATGGTCAGTGACAAATGCTGTCAGAGTTGAAATAAAAGCTGTGGGGTTGGAGAGACCTGCTTGAAAACTCCAGCTCTGCCAAGTGTGGTGGCTTCACCTGTAACTCCAGCACTTAGGAGGCTGAGGCAGGGGCACCCCTGTTGAGTTCAAGGCCAACCTGGGCTACATAGTGAGTTCAACGCCAGCCCAAACTACATAGCAAGACCCTGTCTCAAGAAACCAAACTGGGGGCTGGGGTTTTAGCTCAATGGCATAAGTGCCTGCCTTGCAAGCGCGCCGTAGTGAGTTCAATCCCCAGTACTGATTAAAAAAAATAAAAAGAAAGAAACCAAAGCAAACCTCCAGTTCTGCCACTCATTAGTTGTGTGACTTTAAATTATTATTCTACTTTTTTGAGTTTCAGTTTTCTGACGCATGAGATGCAGAAAATAACACATCATATTGCCAAGATTAAATGAGTCAACATTTATCAGAGATGACTGACAATCACTGGGCCAGTGCATCACTGGTGGGTAACACAACTGGGTTTCCCTCATTGATCCTACCAAACTGTAGCCCACGGGCCAAGTAGGCTCACTGTTCTTTTGCTGTTGCTGTTGTTTTGTTTTTTATCTTTTTGAAGCTGGCCTCGAACTCACAGCAGTCCTCCTGCCTTAGCCTCTAGAGGGCTGGGATTACAAGTGTGCCACCACAGCTGGAAAGCTCACGGTTTTTATAAATAAAATTGGACTGGGAAACTGTCATGCTTATTTGTTTATGTATCGTCTCTGGCTATTTTAATTGCAGAGATAGGTAGTTATAAAAAAGATCTGTGACCTACAAAGCCTAAATAATTTTTGAAGGGCTTAAATACATTTTTATATTGATATTATATTGATAATGCATCTTTCTACTCTAAAACATTATTACTGATTACATGCAGAAGGAAGTGAAGTATTTGTAAAACATTTGATAATTAATATACAGTATTCCAAAGACATGGGATCTTACGAATTTCTAGGTCTTCTGAGGTATTAAATTGAACATCAAATTTCCCTGAATGGAATTCTAGTTGCTTCCTAAAACCATGTTAAAGATGAAGGATCTTACATTTCCCCAGAATTTGTACTGAAAGGGAAAGCACAGAATTGGCATTTTCAGTTTCTCACATCCAAAGTAATGCATGCACACAAAATCAGGATCTTCATTTTTAGCATAAAAGGAAAAAAAATACTGCGTTAGAGATGTAAAATCTCTGAGTAATGGTTAGGGTAGTTCATCAACACCAAAGAAATTCAAGTGTTCCATAGTCTTGAAAATCCTTATTGAAACATGTGACTTATGGGGTAGAGGTGTTTGAACAGATCACAGTTTGAAGACAGTTTTTTGAAACTTCTCAACAATCAAAGAAAACAAAAAAGAAAAGGAAAAAAAAAAGGAGTCCCTGCTGGACATGACAAACGTAAAAATTTCCTTCAAAACATTTGCTATTACAGAAACCAAAGAAAGCAGAGCTCATTGTATTTGGAAATGGCTGGAATCTGAAGTTTGAGAGGAGAAGCAACGGTGTTTTTAGATAAGGAGGGGGATTTTTTTGATTCTCTTGGATGAACACAGACTTCACAGTTCTTGAAAGAACACGGGAGGGTGCTCCTGTTTGCATGTGCCTCATGCCGAAGCAAAAGAGAAACACAGGAAAGGACAGGGATAGCGGGAGAGAGAGAGGAGATCAAGAAAAGGGCTCAGGGCCAGGGATTTAGCTCAGTGGCATAAGTGCCTGTCTGGGAAGCGGAAGCGTGAGGTCATGAGTTCAATCCCTGGTACCAAAAAAAAAAAAGGAAAAAGAAAAGGGCTCAGAAAAAAGTATAGGAATGAGGGTATGATCAGGCTGAGTCTAGTTTATAAATACATCAGAAGTGGTGCGTGCATTTTTAGAAAGTCCTACATTTGGGGCCGGGATATTGCTCAGTGGTACAAGTGCCTGCTTGGTAAATATGATATCGTGAGTTCGATCCTGGTACCAATAAATAGATAAATAAATAAATTTTAGAGGAGATCTGGGAAGATGGAGGAACAGTAAGCAGCAAACTAAAAAGCCTGAGAGAAACGGCCCAGATGCTGGAATGTAGAATTCTGGAGAAGGAAAAGCAGGAAAGACGTAGATCCCCTTGACTAAGGAAGAAACTAAAGTGAGAACTGAAGCCCACAGAAAAAAGTTTAAAAAAGAAAAACTTGAACAGAAGAGGGCGGTAGCTGGTGGCGCTCTCACTAGAGCCGGTCCCACTGTGCCAGAAGCACTGTTGGAACCCGGAGATGCATGGGCACAGTGAAGCTGGTGGCGGGCAAGCCTGAAGGCCTTGGTGAGAAGATGTGAGGGCAGAAGGGAGCAGTGAACCAGAGAACGCACTGGCTGATGTGTCCGAACTTGCACGGCTGCCACTTAGTGAACTGCTCAGGTTCCTGCTGCTTGGATTCGCTGGAGCTGTGGTTGCACTGGGGTGCTGGTGCACTGGGGTGCCGGTGCACTGGGATCGGGATGGGTGAGACCCCCAGAGAGCAGAGCTGTTGGGAGACCTGCATTGACCTGCGGTGAGTGGTGAGTGTTGGGAATAAAACCTTTCCATAGGAAAGGGGGCGACGTCTTGGAGCCTGGGCAGGACTGGCAGAAATAAGGTACTGCAGAGACTTCACTCAGTTGTTTCCTTCCCGGAAGGGATTGGTCAGATGTGCTTGACCTGGGTCACACCTCTGGCTGGGAACCAGTAGGGTGTCCCAGACAAATTCCCTGCCGCTGTGCACACTAAGACCGGGAGGGGAGGGGCCAACATGCCCTGTCCCTATTTTCACTTCAATAGCACACTGGAGTAGGCAAAGTCACCTAGCCAGCATGATTCAGAAGAACCAGAATCAACAACAACAAAAAAGGGACTGGGGCCTTCTTTATATGCCTGTATGGAAGAAACAAAAAATATGAGAAGAGGAAACAATAAGAAAAAGCTTCCAGCCCCCAACCCTGAGAACATTGATCCAAGAAAGGTAAATACAAAAAAGATTGAGGACAGAAAACATGCAATATCAGACATGGCATCAGTGGACAAATATATTCGGGACCTCATAGATGAGTTCAAAAGTGAAATA